GGGAGGGGGGGAATGAGAGGGCAGAGGAGGAGGTGGCTCTGAATGAGGCCCTTTGTCCAATGCTCTCCTGCCCTGCCCCCCACCAGCCCTCTGTGGGACCATTGTCCCCCCACACCCAGACAAGAGAGTATTATCTGCCGATGCCATTGTTGGGTGGAGGGAGGCGGTCTTTGGGTCACCCTCCTCTGCCCTCACCCTCCTCTGCACACCCAGAGAGCCAGGGCAGCTGTGGCTCTGCCCATACATAGCGCCTCAGGCCTACAAATAGGGACATCCTTAAGAGGTGCCAAGAGTATATAAGTTGGGGCTGACGGGGAGCCATAGGCATTCGCTCCCCTTGCATGCACTGCCACTGAAGGGCAGCAGAGGGATCCTCGGAGGCAGGAGAATAAGAGGTTAGGTGGTGTCGCGGAGGTTCCCTCTACCCACCACCGCCCTGCTGTTGAAGATACTGAAGGACCGACTGGGAGAAAAAAAAGCCACCACTCCCTGCTGAGGAGAGCACCCGCCACCCAAGGGTGCTTTAAGTTAGGCCCGGGGATTCCTGAGCTGGCAGCCGGTCCTCCGCTGGGAGAAGTAGGCCAAAGACTAGGGTTTGGTGCTTGTGGGTTGACATCTCTCCCCTCCTTACGCAGAACACAAGCTTTTCCCGAAAGAGTCACACGTTCCTGCCCAAGATCTTCAAAAAAATGTCATCCTCGGGAGCCAAGGACAAGCCCGAGCTGCAGTTCCCCTTCCTCCAGGATGAGGACACGGTGGCCACGCTGCATGAGTGCAAGACGCTGTTCATCCTGCGGGGCCTGCCAGGCAGCGGCAAGTCCACGCTGGCTCGGCACATCGTGGATAAATACCACAACGGCACCAAGATGGTATCTGCCGACGCTTACAAGATCAACCCGGGCTCTCGAGCAGACTTCTCCGAGGAGTACAAGCGGCTGGACGAGGACCTGGCCGCCTACTGCCGCCGGGACATCAGGGTTCTGGTGCTTGATGACACCAACCACGAGCGGGAGCGACTGGATCAGCTCTTTGAAATGGCCGATCAGTACCAGTACCAGGTGGTGCTGGTGGAGCCCAAGACAACATGGCGACTAGACTGTGCCCAGCTCAAGGAGAAGAACCAGTGGCAGCTGTCAGCCGAGGACCTGAAGAAGCTGAAGCCCGGCTTGGAGAAGGACTTCCTGCCGCTCTACTTTGGCTGGTTCCTGACCAAAAAGAGTTCTGAGACCCTCCGCAAAGCCGGCCAGGTCTTTCTGGAAGAGCTGGGGAATCACAAGGCTTTCAAGAAGGAGCTTCGACACTGTAGGTGGCTGTGGGGAGGGAGCGGGGCAGCCAAATCCTTGTTGGCCTGTGTCAGAGAGCCCTCTTTGCCAGGCATCCAAGGATGGGGTTGGAGGGGTGGGGGATACAGGCGGCGGCTGCCAGGCATAGCCAAAGGCGAGGCTTTAGTGGTAGAAGCAGGTGGTGCTATGTCGGGATGCCCACAGCACCTCTCTTGCAGCCTGCCACTTCTCCCGGGCACTGTTCTCCCAGCCTGGATGAAGACCACCATCCAAGTCTTGGGAAAACTAAGGGACTCTCAGCAGAGGAAATGTCACTATATGCTCTAACCTTGGAGGGAGACCCTGGCCCAAGGCTGTCAAACTCACTCAGTTTTAGCAGCAGAAGACTTTTTTTTTCCCCATGCAAAAGATAAGATGCCTCAGCTACAAAAAATAGTAAGATCAAGCCTATTGTGACTTCCCTGGGGATGGTTCTCAGGCCTTCGGCTCCCCATGGTGCTGCCATGGCATTCCCAGGGCTAGAGAACTCAGCTTCATGCCTTCCAGAACATTCCACACAAGGGACATCCTCAGAGATGCTATGAGTTGCTGCTACCTGTACCTAGGTAGGATCCAGCCGCCGCGTTCCCTCCTGGCAAGGGCTGTTGGCTGGAGTAAACGGGTAGCTTTGGGGTAGGGAAGGCTCCTCAAGGGTCCTAACCCCCCAGTGTCCCACAGGCTGTCATCCCCTAGCCCATCTGTGCCTTTGAGTCTTTGTTTTTTTGAGACAGAATCTCACTGTGTTGCCTCCCATGGCTGGCCTCTGACTTACAGTAATCCTCCTGCCACTGCCTTCCCGCATGCCTGGTCTCTTTAAACTTGTTTTTTAGTCTCTCGATTCTAGCTGGTCTGCAAACTTGAAATAACTTCATTCTGTTGCTAAATCACTCAGAGGCCAGCAGGTCCTTTGTGCCCGTGTGAGTTCTCAGAAAACTTGTTTCCGGGTTCCTGAGGCTCCTTCTACAAGGAAGGTGCTGGCGGGGAGCCAGCCCACTTCCTGTACAGAGTGAGGGGCAACCCCCAGAGCCAGGGCTTCTGGCCAGAGCTGGTGGTCCTGGCTTGGGCACGATTGCTGCTTGGTGCTGGCTTTGACCACAAAAGAGCAGAATGCTCTTCTGCTCAGGGTGTGGCAGGAGACATCGGAGACTCATAAGGCACACTCAGAATAGAAGATCCCTGGAACCGATAGCCTTTGGGGACAAACAGGGAGGAGCCAGACTGAATACAGCCACAAAGCTTGGAGTCTGGAAGATCGGCTTTGACATTCTCCTCCTCAGCCCCTTGTCCCACTGTCAGGACCCTTCCTGTTCCAGGCTCTTGGTGTGCTCTCCCCCAAGCATGCCGGCAGGGCACTGGAAGATATGGTCACCCCTGGGTGAAATGGTTGCTGTAATCTCAGGCCCCGAGGAACCTGGGGGGTATGGCACCTGGAACTGTGGCAGTGTTTGCAGTGGACTGGCAACAGTCAACCACGTATCTGTCCCACATGGCTAGTAAGTGGCAAGATGTGTTCCATTTCCCCCTGTACCTACCTTCTCATCCTGCTTTCCCTTTCCAGGTATGACGCCGGCACCGGCCTTTGGCTAGAATTGCCTAGCGCTATTACATATGCTTTAGAACTCAGAGATGTAAAGATCTATACGCTGTGAAACCAGCATGGTTAGATTTTAAATTGTTCCCGCCCAGCATTGAACCCAGGACCCTATGCATGCTAGGCGGGCACCCCCGCCCCCCAGAACTCCTGGTCCTCCTGCATCTACTATCCCAGATGCTAGGGACTCAACCCAGGGCGATGTGCATGCTAGGTCAGCACTCTGCCAACTCAGCTGCATCTCCAGCTAGGAGATGAGCCAAGCTCAGCGGACTGCGTGAGAACATCTCAGTGGGGGCCGTTTTCCCCCTCAGGGCCTGCAGTCTCTGTGGTAGGTGTTGGTATGCCCTGCTCACTGCCTCACTGCCATGACTGGATCTTCTCTTCTGCAGTTATTTCTGGGGATGAACCCAAGGAGAAGCTTGAGCTGGTCAGCTACTTTGGGAAGAGACCCCCAGGCGTTCTGCACTGTACAACCAAATTCTGTGACTACGGGAAGGCCACCGGGGCAGAAGAATATGCCCAGCAGGATGTGAGTTCTCACCCAGGGAAAGCCCGGTGAAGGAGGGGAGGGTGAGTGGGTTCAACTATCTTCTGGAGCTGCGGCACGAGGCAGAGATATCACACAGCGGCTGGAGAAGCGTGGCCTCCTCCTGGCTGTGGCTCAGTCTCTGCTCTTGTGTTACCCTCTTAGGGACTTAACTAGTCCATCTGTCCCCAGAACCTGCTCAAAGGGCCTTTTCCCTCAAGCAGACTCATGGAGAATGCCAGGCTGCAACAGGCTCCTTCTCTGGCCTCTTGAACCCATGTTAAGTCCCGGAGTCCCCAGTGCTAAGATTCCTGGGTTCCAGAGGGCCTGCTGCACTGGGGCTCCAGTCTCCTGAGGGAAGGAGTGGCTCAGGAGAGCGAAACACCCATTCCTGATCGGACGGACGGACGGACAGCACACAGCCCATAGCCAGATGCAGCCGTCCTTAACTCCAGGCGTGTTGCCCAGTTCCTAACCTCCTTCACCACTGCCTTCCCGGCCACCATTACCGCTTCTGTACTGGCCTAGCCTCGCTCAGGCCGCAGCTCCCCAGGAGCCCGGTGCTCGTAGCTTCGGTCACCCGTGTTCTCCAAGCCTAGTCCAGTGGGAGTGGCTGAATACAGACCCTTGCTCCTTTCTGTGGCCCAGTTAGCAATGCTAACTAACCAAGCACCTGTCCCACGCCATCAGGTATGGCCAGAGGTGTAAGCAGAGGTCAACCAACAGTGCGTCGAGTGAGTGGAGTGAGCCGTGGAGTGAGCAGTAGCTGATCCCGGCTCTTCACCACCACTGCTAATCCTGTCTCCTCAGAGGTAGGCTCTAGGGTTACCCCTCTCTCACAAGTGAATAACCAAGGCCCAGAGGGGCTAGCGGCACACGTAGCGCCTTGGGCCTGGTAAGTGGGGCTTATGTCTGGTACCCGAGAGCCTTTCCCCAGCATTAGCTTGAGTGGCTGGTGTCGTCTATTTGATCTGCCTTTTAAAAAGACCCCCGCACAGGCGCACTCAGTCTCCTCTGGGGGTGGCCCTCCCTTGTCAGCTGTCCCTCTAACTTGGGTCCCCCTCTCCCCCCAGGTGGTGAAGAGATCTTACAGCAAGGCCTTCAAACTGTCCATCTCGGCCCTTTTTGTGACACCCAAGACGGCCGGGGCCCAGGTGGTGCTGAATGAGCAGCAGCTGCTGTTGTGGCCGAGCGACGTGGACAAGCCGTCTTCCTCCGAGAGCCTGCCCCCAGGGAGCCGAGCTCACATCACCCTGGGCTGTGCCGCCGATGTGCAGCCCGTGCAGACAGGCCTTGACCTCTTAGAGATCTTGCAGCAGGAGAAGGGGGGCAGCCGAGGTGAGGAGGTGGGTGAGCTCCCCCGGGGCAAGCTCTTTTCCCTGGGCAAAGGGCGCTGGATGCTGAGCTTGACCAAGAAGATGGAGGTCAAGGCCATCTTCACGGGGTACTATGGGAAGGGCAAACCTGTGCCCATACATGGCAGCCGGAAGGGGGGTGCCATGCAGATTTGCACCATCATCTGAGGGTTCACGCCACTCTACCCCTTCTGCTCTTTAGAAGGCAGAGGGGTGGACAGGGCAACATGCCTTCCATTTGATTTTTAAGATTTTTTTTTTTTACTCGAAGCTAACTTACCTGTAACTTTTTAAGAGTCTGTAAAGTAACTGCCAGCCCCTTCCTGCCCACCCTCTTCCCCTTAACACTGGAGCTCTCAACACAGGCGGGTGGGGAGAGGAAGACACCATTCAGGAACCTGGACCAGTGGTGATAAAAGACTGGGCTATTGGGCCTGGAGCCACATCTGCCCCACATCCAGGAGCTGGTTAACTCTCCCTTGACCCCTGCCTGATGCCCATCTAGAGCTGGGCACACCTCAGAGCTGCACACATCATGCTAAGGACAGTGCTACGCCACAGGAAAACAGTGGTAGCTTTGAGAGGGGTCAGATCCCTGGGTACCAGTCTTATTTTTTAATCACTATAGTGCCTAAGAAGGCCTGGGCTACTTCCTGGTGTGTAAAGGGGTTTACCTCCCACCTTTGGTCATTCCTAAGTCCCTGCCACCTCCTTCACACTGTGACTAGGTGAAGAGTGTGATCACTAGGGGAGAAGTGGAATCACCAGAAGCACATCTCTGGCCTCCCACTGGCCACCCACCCTTCACAGTAGCGTGCCACTGCTGTGTGGACGGGCACTGAGGACAGATAGACATGGCCTGAGAAGCTCCAGCTTTGCTCTCTGCCCAGCCCATCCTGCCTCCATGGTGCCTCTAGGGCCTCCTCGAAAGGAGGGTGGTGGGTACCAAGAGCCAATGGAGGGGGCCCTGAGCTGGCCAGAGTGCGCCCCATCTTCTGCTCTGGGGAAGTTGAACAAGATCACGTGTGTGGTTCCTGGAACACCTCACTCTGCCTTTGCTCAGTAACAGGACCCTGCTAATTGGGTTGTCACCCAAGAATCTGGGATTTATGTTCCTACCCTGGTTTTGCCCACCTCAGCAACTTCTAAGACTGATACTGAAATAAATCATGTTAATCCTAGCTGTGTGCAGTCACTCTTGGCCTTCTATGTCCAGCTCAGTATTCCCTGGGGGCCAGGGCTGGGTACATTAAGACTAGCTTTGTCCCACAGCTTGGGGCCATCGGTCCTGTCTCCCTTCTGCTGGCTGGGCACAGCTGTGATGAGGCTGGGCAGCTGAACAGTGTTGGCTTTCATGAAGCAGAAAGGAGAGGCTGGCTTCAGACTCATGCAGAAGGTGGGGGTTGGCTGGGAGCCAGGGACTTGGAGCACAAAGCCTTTATCTGACAGCTAAGGCGACCACATGCAGGTGTCCTTGGCCCAGTCAAAGACCTCTCGGCAAGGCCTAGAGTTTCCAGCATGGGCTTTGCAGGGTCTCTGGGGAAGGCCACCTTAAGTCAGTGTTCTTCAAACACAAGAGAAGACATGCAACAGCTCCCCCAGGGTCACGGGCCCGGCCTGACCGTCCGGCCACTGTGGTTCAAGGCCTCTCTCCTGGCTGTCTGTACCGTCGGCACCTGCAGTCTAGCTCAAAGCCTGGAACAGTAACTGGACTGAGCAGTGTGACAGGCTACAGGGCCCTTCTCCACTTTGCCTATCTGAAGCAGGAAACAAGACCAGTCATGTATTTGCAGTTTCCAGTAACACGAGCCTTTAGAGCCAGCAAACGGCCTGAGCTCTGGAGTTGCCTGGCAAACTTTAAAAGAGCCTGGAGGTCAGGAGCAGAATTTTGTTTTCATGTCCACGTCCTCAAGCCCACAGTGACAGTAAGAACAATACGAGCACGACAGTGTGGTCGCTCATATTGTAATCCCAGCACCGGACAGGGCTGAGGCAGGAGGACTGCCCTGCTCCAGGGCAGCCCAAGACCATCTAAACCAAACAAAAGCAGAGCATGCACACACATGCACATGCACACTAGGCACCTGTGCTCGTGGATGAACTCCAGGTACAGAGAAGCTACCAAAGCTAAGGACCAAAAAAATGGTCAAAACATTTTATTTTCTTTTTTAATAAAGTTAAACAATACAACAAAAATTCACAAGCTGCCTCCCTGTCTACCCCTGGCTTCCCTCCCCTCCCCAGTCCTCAGCGCTGGCTCCCTTTCCTTCACCCCACTCATACAGACACAGGGCACCCAACTGAGAAAAAGAAACTGCTCCAAGTACACAGGGACACGATGGAGGAGGTGAACCGTCCACATTCATGGTTAAACTGAGCGAGTCTGCATTTTCTGGGTTCTGAGTAGTTGCCCTTCATTAGCCAAACTGAAAGAAGAAATTCCCTGGGCCAGATGCTGAAAGGGAAAAGAAAGGCTTGTTAGTTGCTCTGTGGATTTCCTTAGGAAAACCATAGCTGTTACAGAAGTCTTCAAGGGCAGCTTAATCCAAACCCAGAGACTCCAAGGGTACCAAACCGTCTGAGCCATGAATGCAAGGGCCAGCATGCAAGGCACACCCAACCACTGGGCTGGAGGTGCATTTTGTGTGTAGCTTCTGAACACATTTGCTCTAGTGAACAAGGCTGGTTACTAAGGGCCTTGGTGATGCTTCTCTGACCCTGCCAAGTGCACTGAGAAGGGTTCCAAGCACCCTAGAGTGCATACACGTTCTGTTGACCAAGGATCCAGCTGTCTCCACTCAGACTGAGTGAGGGGTCAGTGTTGGCTTATCGCTTGGGAGCTCTCAAGAGCAGCAGGGATACCCACCTTCAAAGCTGAAGCCCCCAGGGCCACCGAAGAATGCCTTGAAAATGTTGTTTGCATCAAAATCTGGTGAGAAGCATGGAAGAGACCAAAAAGGGAAAATCAGAAGAGTCTGAGGAACCAGACGCAGTAGAATTCTGAGTATCACTTCCATCATTTCAGCCTAGATGTTAGCAAACCTTTCCCCCACCCCAGTTCCGGCGTCTGTTCTCCTCCAAGAGCAGTCCAGAGGGAAAGCTTGCTCTGCCTCAGCCTGCTCTGCCTACTGTCTCCTTCCTTAGAAATGTCATCTGCACTACGCTGCCCTCCTCTAACGCTGGGCTATTACTGAGATGGCTCACTTTTCACTTGAGTGTCAGCAAGCTCAAGGCAGCAGACTGCAGACCCTGACTCCTGGAACTAGCACTGGGCTCCGTTCTGCCAAGCCCCAGCAGTCCCGATGGCTCCTGTCCTAGCTCATCTTTTTGTGACAGCCTGCTGTCTCACATCACTGGCTGACCACTTACGGACTTCACCTCTGGAGTGTCCCAGCCCAGAGGGCAGAAGCCTTGGTACCAACAACAGGGCCTTTTCTGGTGCTTTAGGGAAAAAAATGTTTTACAGGGACCACCTTCATTCCAGGAGCCCAAACCAACTCACCGCCCATGTTCATGCCCTCCTCATCCAGGTCCTGTCCACTGTCGTAACGAGTCTTTTTCTTGGGATCAGAAAGGATGGTAAAAGCCTCTCCCACTTCCTTGAACTTCTTTTCTTCCTCCTTCTGAACCTCAGCGCTGGCCCCACTGTGCCGATCTAGAGGATTCAGTGAAACCAGGGTCACAGGAAAAGTCTGTTTATGTCCCAGTTTGGAATGTGGCACCTCCCACATTCTGTAGGACAGGGAGCTCACCACCCCTTCTTCCCACTGAAGAGCGAGTCTCCTAGGTGCCCATGCACTTGCCCTGTGGTTCTTCCTGCTGTACCCCTCTGCAGAGCTCACCTGGATGGTGCATCAAGGCCCGTTTCCGGTAAGCTTTCTTGATCTCATCCTCAGAGGCATTCTTGTCCACTCCCAGGATCTTGTAGTAATCTTTCCTCTTGCTCTTCTTCAGTTCCAGCTGTGCGTTCTTAAGGAGCTGTTTGTGTTCTGAGGGAGACAGGTGACATCAACAGACAGATCTACTGCTTCCCTTGCTGGGTCCCAGCCCAGCTGCCCAGAGGATGGAAGCCTCGGTAACCACAAAAGGGTCTTTTTTGGTGCTTCCTTCTGAAGACAGAGGAAGTGAAAATGACAGGGAGGGAGGAGCTAGAACCAGAACACAGGTGCCTAAGCAGGAACCCTGTTGCCTGCTGCCAGGCTAGTAGTGATCAAATAAGCTCCAGGTCCACTCCTAAGTGAGACATCAAATCATCCCACATTTTAATTTAGGACCGACAAGGCCACAGCTCCCCGAGTCTGATGGCCCTTTGTTCTCATACCTTTTGTTTTCTCCGTCTGATACACTTTTTCATAGTCCCGTACAGCTTCTTCATACTGCTCTGTGTCCATGTAACTGAGAAGGAAGTACAGGGTAATACAGCACTCAGACACAAAAAGCAATGGCCTGTGGGACCTTCTAGGGAGAAGGCAAGACTCATGCAAGAGATACACACTTTCCATAGGATGTTTCATCCAACAGTAGAATCCCTTATCTAAAAAATGAATTAATTTTCAGTTCCTCAAGGCAAAGAAGCCTCATGGCATTTCGCACCCAGCCAGTGATCCTCTGCTAGAAGCGGGTAGTGGCTGGGGAGAAAGCTCTTGGTGACACAGCACTGCCCACCAGCTGGGCCGCCTTAGGAAAGGTCATGTGAAGGCACCATCTTGACTCCCTAGGACTGGAACACAAGGGAGAAACTGCTGTGATAGAGCTCTGAACATGCAGGGAGCTCCAACCAGGCACAAGTGGGGTTAGCTGAGCCACTGGAAGGATCAAGGTCAGGTGGAGGCTGCTGCTGAATGCTTCCACTAAGATCAACCAATCTCAGAGGTAGAGGTGAGACACAAGAAGGGATTCTCAACAGTCTTGCTTCGATTTCAGTAGCACAAAAGCAGAGGGATCCCTAGGCCAAAATGGGAGGACTGAAGGGAAAAGGCAGAGTATCCGACTTTGAAAGTGTTTCCCACAGAACTAAGCTGTCGTCTTTTTTAAAAATAATTTATTTTTATCTTGTGTGCATTGGTGTTTTGCCTGCATGTATGTCTGTGTGAGGGTGTCAGATCTTGGAGTTAAAGACAATTGTGAGCCGCCACCTAGGTGCTGGGAATTGAACCTGGGTCCTCTGGAAGAGCAATCAGTACTTAACTACTGAGTCACCTCTCCAGCCCTCCAAATTCTTATGACCAGATGGCACCAAGTCTGTCCTCTCCATCTATCAGATACAACATCTGCTACACTCCCGAGAAACAGCTGATACTTCCATCGTGCCAGCCCATCTTTACACACATCAGCTTTGGAGGCCAGGGCAGGGAGGCTGATACCAATGTGGCTGGCCAAAAAGAGGCTCGACATCTTAGTCATTTCTGAATTTCTGGAAACATAATCATCTATGACTTTAAAAAACAAAACAAACAAACAAAACAAAACAAAACAAATGCCCACAATGTCCTATAGACAGAGGGTACTAGGAATATAGAGAAACAATTCACAGGGCAAAGCATCAGATAACCTGAAGTAAAATAATTTAATATTCATTGCCAGGTGGTGGTGCATGCCTTTAATCCCAGCACTCAGGAGGCAGAGGCAGGCAGAACTTTGACCTCCAGGCCAGCCTGGGCTACAGAGTGAGTTCCAGGACAGCCAGAGCTACACAGAGAAACCCTGTCTCGAAAAACAAACAAATAAACAACAAAATCTGACGCATTAGTAACTCTGACATGATCTCTAGGCCTGTGCATAATGTATTAAACAAGTACCATGACAATGACTTGCATTCTTTGTAATTTGTAATTTTTCAGACAAGGTCTTTCTTCTTCTGCAGCCTGGGCTGGATTGGAACTTACTACGTAGCCCAAGCTGGCCCCAACTGGCTATCCTCCAATCTTAGCCTCTGAAGTACTGGGATTTACAGGTGTGAGAGTTGCCCATCAGGAGCTGCATTATTTTGCACGTTTTAAAAATCAAGAATACCCTTCCAAGTCTCTTAAATGTTGAAGAAAAAGTAGAAAATGAGGCTTTAAGGGGAAGAGGAATCGCTCTAGCTTGTGGGAAGTGAGGTGGCAAACATCTGCCATCTGCCCAACTTTAAGGCTGAGTTGAAGCCGGGCGGTGGTGGCGCACGCCTTTAATCCCAGCACTC